GGAAAAAAAACCCAACCGCCTAACGAGCAATGCAAAGGGAGTCACCGTATCCCACCCCAAAGCGATGCACAGCCAGTCTCCAAGCAATAGCTACTTTGGAGAAACTCCCCCGCCCCAGTCTTATCGCTGAGCACAGGGTTACAGGGTACAGAACATCCCCTTGGTCGGCTGCGTCCTCTCCGAGCCCCTCGGTTCCCCCACCAGCCTCCTTGCTGCAGGGGCAGAGTAAGAAACAGGGACGGCCTCGCCGCTGTGCAAGCACTGTTCAGCTATTGCTAAAGCATTGGTATGCCGGCGGCACTGTTTTGGTCATAAATCACACAGCAGCAGAAGGGCCGCCATGAAGAAGGTTAAGTTCACCCCAGGCAGACCCAGTACGCTGCAGGATCACATCCTTTTCTTGGACAAATTTGGGCTTACGCAGGCCACGCCGTGCCGAACCTGTGCACAAGTGCTGTAGGCAGGAGGCAAAGAAATGAGCTTTTACGGGCATGGAAAATATCAAGCCCAAGTCAGAGATGTAGAGAGTACCCACAGGGGGACAGAGGGGCTCAGGCAGCGGCGTAAGCACTATTCACATCCGTAATGTTACAATCTGGCATTCGTAGCTGCCCAGTTAATGAGATCAAACCACCCAATGGTTTAATGGAAGCAACACTCCCGCAGGTTTTGGATACAAGCCCCCAGACTACATTGAGTTACTGCTTCACTTTGCAGCCTTGACTGGCACAAGAGTGGTTTAATTACTATTTTAATTACTAGTTTAATTACTGTAGTCTCTATAAGCGATGTTCTGAAGAAAACCCAAATCCATTGAATGTCACCTCTGGCAGAGTTCAGCTTGGACTCTGGATAAAGAGACCTGATATCAGAGGAAGAGAGGATGTAGCTGAAAGAAGATATCAGGCGAAAAGAAATAGTTACGGGCTCGTACATGCTCCACTTAGACACCAGTCCAGAAGCTTTGGATCAAAGACAGGTAGAGTACAGATGATTATATTGGTGGTATGGACTATGGTGTTCAGAGATGCAACGGGGCAAAGCTGGAAGAGGAAGAGATAAAGCAGCAGATAAACCTGCTGTTAGACACCGCAGAAAGGGAGGTGTTGGACGGATAGGGTGGTTGGTGAGGAATGGAAGGAACCAGAGAATCAGACTAGCAGACTGTTTACCTGTGCAAGCAGAAGGCTGGGGGATGGACTTTATGGCCCATTTGCCTTCTCTATTGTAGTAGTTAGGAGTTATTATTGTCCCTGCTGCTGGATGTACCAAGCATTTACACAGTTAAATAGTCTATTACAATTGCTCGACTTTCATTGGACGTAATGTCAGTACACGTGGCTTTAAATTCAGTGAGCCCAAATTTAATTTCCAGCTTCACTTGGCGTTTCTTCCCCAGCTTTGTGTCTGGCATTGGCACTGTACAGGAGCCAAGGTGTTCCATCCCTTCCTCATCTACGTACTTAGCATCCTGCTTTTCTGTACAATAGAAAGAAAAAAGTGCGTTTGTTTGATCTGGTTCTGTTGGATGGAAATTATAGTGGGCAATTTCATTTATATTCACTGACTCCTCAATTCCCACCAATTTCTTGAAGAGATCTGTGCAATAAATATAGCCATCAGCTTTTGAGACCTTTAGTTTAGACAACTCATGGATAGCAACATCAAATTTATGATTTACTGCTATGCCATATGTCCGAGCGCTGACTCTTGAGGTGACAACATGTGGATTGACCCCAAATAAAAGAGCCCCTTTTGCGATGGCCACTTGGGCCTCCACTGGACAAAGGATGTGATATTTCTTGCTAAAGGCCTGACTGATCGCATCTCTCAAGATGACACTAGACGCAAAGCCTCCCACAAGCAAAATGTACTGGACCCTGCCCATCTCAGGCTTGTCAAGAATTTCCCTCAAGGTACGAATGATGTTTTTGACACTGTAGTCAAAAAAGCTCTTCATTTTCTCATATGTAATCATGATCATCCCATCACACCACACAACTCCTTCTGCTCTTTTGAAGAAGCGGGAGATGTCCTTGCTGTCTGCCACTCTGGTCAAGTTGTAGTAGCAATGTATGTAGACCGCCTCCCTGCTAGCAGAGCATTTCTGTAGACTGAAATTGTACATCATATGTTCTAATTCGGTGGGGTGGTTCTTTACGTATTCATCCCATACACCATCATTAAATATTTCCTTGAGGAAATCAGTGAAGTTTTCGTCCACTCTGTTGCCGCCCCATCCACCTCCAGATGCCTTGTGTAACTCCTTCAGGCAACAGTTTTCTTGGATCTCATGTACCGTAATGTCTATTGTGCCACCTACACGCACGCAGAAAAACACAAATGAAGTTAGCTGTTTTCTTTAAAGTACATGAGATCCTTACTTTCCATTGAATATAACCTTACCTTCTGAACTCCTAGTTCACAAGTGCGCTTTTCTGCTGTTTTCTCAACCTCACTCCTCCGCTATTGCCTGCACACCTCCAGACTTCCCAAATTTACACACTTCTGTTTACAAGCCTGGTCTCTCAAGGTTCCTACAGTAATTGCTGATGAGAGCTGGATGCTCTGGCTTGCTCTCTGCACAAGCTGATCTCCTGTCTGATCACAAAAGGAGACCAGCCTCCTCACAAATAGTTGACTCCTACCTTTTGATACACAAGCTCTGAGTTAAGATGAGCAGCGGTGGTCAGACTCTCAGAAACTTGTGGTCCTCTTCATGCGTTTTCAGTGTTTGTTCACAATCACCAGACTGCTCTTGGTAGAAAATTCATGTCACACCGAAAAAACTCACATAGGGAACTAAAGGAAGCACATCTTAGAAGTGCTCCATCAAATATTCTTAATGATTTACTCTACAGGGCTTGCTAGCTACTCTCTTTGGTCAGTTCACTGGGCACTACACTTGCTCCCACAGAGGAGGCTGTGAGCTCTGGCAATACAGCAGCACTTGGGTGCGTGTCGGTGGCTGACGCTCAGACACGGTGCAGAGTGATCTGGTGCGATGGCAGGAGCTCTCGCTATGACTGTCGGGCTCGAAGTGCATGATGGCATGAGACACTCAGTGACTTCCATTTGCCATGGATCGGGCCTTTAGCAGTCCTGTCCTTCCCTCCCATTTTTCTGCCTGCCCATGGGATCTCACAGAATCCCAGACTGGTGGGGGTTGGAAAGGCCCTCTGGAGATCATCCAGTCCAACCCTCTGCCAAAGCAGGGTCACCTACAGCAGGTTAAACAGCCATGCTCCGCACCCAGCAAAGATGGTATCTGTTAAACAGGGGAAGTCTTACCTCCACAGTCAACAACAATATACTGGATCCCAGGGGAGTCTTCAAACTTCTTCTTATCACTGCTGTCTGTCAAAAACCCTTCCCGTGGAAGCTGTTTGCACCAAAGCGACGCAGCCTCCGGCTCCAGGGCAATAATCAGCTTCTCAGAAATCATGTCAGAGATGATTCCTGCCTAAAATCACAAGAGAGGTGTCAGTTCAAGGAAAGGTGGCAAGATCACCGCTGCACGAATGCCACCTGCTAGGGAGGCCATGCTGGGCTGGTGGCTCTTGCACTGCTGATCTCCATGGGGATCATTTCTACACGGCAGTAGGGGGAAAGGGCAGAGGAGTTGTTGGTGCCAGTTTGGGACATCCTCTCTCCCACCTCTCCCTGATAGACTGAAATTTGAAATACAGGTTGTTTAAATGTTGAGCTCCTCTGCCTCGATGGGTAAAGAATCTCAGAAGATAATTTTAGGAAGTGGGATAACCCCTGCTTTTACCTCTTTTGCTGCCAGCCGCATGAACTGCCTGGCAGCAGCGGTCCATATGGCCGGGACAGTAATGACCCAGGTGATCTCCTCCTGGTCACAGACGGTTTGGAAAGAGGCCTCTTGGATGGTGTTCAGGGCATGTTCCTTCAGGTAGCGCAGGCTTTCGGAAAAGACCATCAGGGCAGGAAGTGTCTTTCCATTGCTGGCTTTCAGCTCCATGCCAGAAGTGACTTTCTGCAAAAAACAAAAATATTCCAGGGTCATATGTGGCAAGACTCATCCTCTTCACACTGAGGACTACACAACACATCTTGGATGGTGTTCAGGGCATGTTCCTTCAGGTAGCGCAGGCTTTCGGAAAAGACCATCAGGGCAGGAAGTGTCTTTCCATTGCTGGCTTTCAGCTCCATGCCAGAAGTGACTTTCTGCAAAAAACAAAAATATCCCAGGGTCATATGTGGCAAGAGACTCATCCCCTTTGCACTGAGGACTGCACAACACATGGGACAGAAGGAGGTCCTGTCTCCAAACCTGAGTAACTTCCCAGCAATGGCTTCAGTATTGTGGCAAACTGCAGCCTAATTGACACAGGTCAGCTACCAAACTGCTTACCCACAACATCTGTGATTCAATAGGCAAAATCCAATGTTGATAAGTCAGCTGTTTCTCCTGGGCCAAATTTTGTGAAGATCCTGTAGATCCTCCTCAACAGGCAGTGGAGAAAATTGCATGTTCTATGTGACACCACCATACATTTCCCAGGTGTATGTACAGAGATTTCAGACCCTTCTGGTTGCACCTATACTTTTGTGCATGGCATTAAGAAAATATATGCTGGACACGTGTAGACAAATAACCCTCTGGTCCGACACAGTTTGTCTATGATGTGTCCTCTTGGCTTATATGTCTCCCTGAGTGTATCTGAAGCTTGAGGCAGGTGGCTGCTCTGACACTTCTTTAGTCTCTCCCAGGAGACCAAAACTCCCTCCATCAGTCCCTGATTGCCTGCTCCGTCTAGAAAGAATCATAGAATCATTATGGTTGGAAGAGACCTCAAAGACCATCAAGTCCAACCGTATACCCAATGCCACCATGCCCGCTAAACCCACTAAATCATGTCTTGAAGCACCACATCTAAACGTTTTTTGAACACCTCCAGGGATGGTGAATCCACCACCTCCCTGGGGAGCCCATTCCAATGCTTAACGACTCTTACAGTGAAAAAGTTCTAAAGAGTGGGAATTGTTGCCTGTATCCAAAGAAGTTTCAGGAACCGGCCTTCACTGCACCTGCTTCCCTTTTTTTTGCTTCAGCAGCCACCAAAACGGCCCTGAATTTCAAGGATTATCAACTGGATAATCAGTTCCATTAACTTGAGATCCTTTACAGCCAATGGAGAAAAACAGGCAGATCCAGGTGCCGCCCAGCTTAAATAATACACAATCAGGAAAGGTGAGGTGAATCCTGATCTGCAGGTGCAGCCGCTTAGAAGAAAGGGCATCTATGTTTATTTTTACTTACAATCTCATTTCCTGTCACTGTTCCTGGCTCAGTGAGGAGAGGTCGATAGAAGAATATGTTACAACATGTCCTCCACAGACACTTCCTATGGGGATTCAGAAATAACTACTTCAGTGTCTGGGAAACAGTGTTCCCCTTTCTTGTCTCTGAGCCCTTCTAACGGTTGCCCAGAGAGGTTGTGGCATCTTCAGAGGTTCCTTCCAACCTCAACTATTCTGTGATTCTGTCATGAAATTTCCCTTAAACATTTTCTTCTTGGGTGCTGAGAAATAGAGTTGAACTAAAACGTCTCTCCAGCCCCCTCTCAATATGAGTGAGACCCCACCACTCCACAGGTGACACTGTGGCAGACCACATCATTCCCAGCTTTCCCAGGGAGGAAAGTCTTCACAGAGGCCTCCCACCCACTGCCTCCCCCCCGCATCCAGGGCTCATTGCCTAGCACTGGGAGATGCCAAAGAGCAGACACGAGACTTTATCTGGGGCTGGTTCTCTGCTCTGGGTTATCCCATCTTTGGGAGGCCCTGTGGGACCCTGGAGCACAAAGGAGGCCCTAAGGTAGCCTAATGTTTGCCAGAATGAGCAAACCCAGAAAAAGCTGTGAACGATTCTGAAGTAGCACAGAGCCTTCAGAGATAAATGATAGCCACTACGTGCTTGAAGGCAGCTAGCCACCCTTAAATTGGCTTCAGCATACCATTTCAGGGGAGGGAGAGACAAGGCAGAGGGAGGTATATAACGTGGTGATCCCGAGGTTGCCCACTTTCTTTAAATCACAGGAAGCTTCACTTGTTCCCTATTGAGGACTGAGGGCACCTTTTCATTAAGAGCAAGTATTTGGCTTCAGCGAGATGTGCAATCAAGTTTTATTATCTTTAGACAATATGAACAGCATCATAAGGGAAGGGCCAGTGAAACCTTCGGCCAGTTAAGAAAAGGAATAATTTCTTCTTCAGTTCATCAAAACACCCTTTCATTTCCGTTCACTCACCGTCACCAGCCAGATTTACTCAGCCCTCTTCAGCAGTTCCTCTAAACCCCCACCCCTCAAATAAACAAACAGCTCTGACTCCCGTTAGCAGTAACCGTTCTACCTACTGTGTTGTACAGCTTCATCTTGAAGTTGTGGAAGAAGTACCAGCTGTCAGCTTCGCTGGAGGGCAGGCTCTTGTATTTCATCACAGCATCGTAGCCGAATTTCCTGAACTCCCGCTTCTGGTTGAACAAGATGCACGTGGGTGTCTTCGGGGTCTTGAGCCCATGCTCTGCTCCCCAGTACACTTGGCGGATTTGGTCCGTACCTGAAGCAAGGGAAAAACAGTACCCGCTGTAGGATGTGCCAAAATCTATAGCAACGACGAAGACTGACTTGTTGTCCATGGCTGAGAGCAATGCAGAGGTGCACAGCTCGGGGAGCTGCAGAGGAGCAAACTGATGAGACTGGAACGAAACTGAAACTGCTCCGGCTGACCCTGCAGGGTGAAGCTACCCACCCTCCCCACACTTTATTGGCTGCAGATACAGTGCAAAGAAAGTGTGCCTTTTCCCGTAAAAAGGAAGGGCTGGTTTCTGTTATTTATAGCAGAAAAGTCTCTCTGTGAAAGCAAGCGCGTGCCCGACACAGTAGCATCCCGCGCTCCTGGCAGCACGGTCCCCTGTGCTGTCACTCACTCCAGCAAACATTTTCTGCTGCTTCAGACGCATGGATGCACCCGAGCTGCCTTCCTACAGCAGAACGGGGGGGTTTGAAGGACAGCATAAGGGCGCTGATCCCGGCAAGGTGACTGCGGAAGGCGGCAGGTATGTTGCACAGGGGGCATCTCTGGGTAAACCTACCAAGTTTAACTTAGCAAGTCTGAATGTTTCTACGGAGTGCCTTGGCAGGTTGTGACGAAAGACTGCAAACGCCTGACTGTGAAGTATTTCAGTAAAAGCTCTGTTTTCTACTTCCTATCCTTCCTGTCTGTCCCACGGACGGTTAATTCCCTCAGATTCAGTTCAAGTTCAGCTCCAAAGGGTGAGGCAGATCTTTAATGGGTGTAAGAGGAAGAGAAATTGGAAAGAACGGTATAAATAGTGTAAGAGATCCCGGACTTTGGGAACTCGGTCTGTGAGCTCATCAGTGTTGCAGGGAAAGGCTGACTTAAATGCAGATTTTTGTACTGGATTGTTGAGCCTAAAGAGGAAAAAAAAAAAAAAATTGTCCTCAGTGAAAGACTGGAAATGGTGTGTTTTAGCTGGAAAGGAATTCATCCAAGTAA